CTTGCTGTTTAAACAGCATCCAATGATTTCTGTCCAAACTAACTTCAAAAGCACAAAAGCAGACTAACTGTTTGACAAAACTAATTGTAGCAGAAATACCGTAAATAAAAGAAAGGATGTTCTGTTGTTATGTGCCATCAAATTGGAACCAACTCATAGCAAACCTAATAAGGCTTTCAGGTTAACTGCGATATTTTAAGAAGTTTTATCAGTTCCAAACCACCAGTGAGTTTCCATGGTTGAGCAGGAATTTGAACCCAGGCTTTCTGAGTCCGAGTCTATCACTCTATTTACTAAACCACTTTGGGAATTATAAGAAAGGATACTAGTCATTTAAATTAAAGGAGATCTGGATTGGTGTTCACTCACACCTACAGTATGTCTTTAACAACGGGGTCAAACACACAAATACATGAGGCTATGTTTTTCCCATCAATTTAGCTCTTCCACCTTCGGTGTGCTTTTTTCCTGTGCTTAGTAAATAAGATAGTATATGCAAACAGGACTGTAGTAGTTAGGATTGCCAAATCTAAGCCTGTAGTCTCAGGAAATTCTTATGCTTTTCTCGGCTGCCAGCTAAGGAGACAAATCTCTGCACAAATGGCACTAGTAATACTGTATTCTAGTAATACTGTCATGCCCTAGTGGAAACTGTGGCTATGGTTACAGCTGCCCAGTGCAATTGCTATCTACCTGTTCCCAGAAATTAAGTCCCCCACTTTGGTTCTGGGTTCCCACATAACCCAATTATCCTGGCTTCACTAGTATCCTGGACCTATCTATCTAGGTTTCCTGTGTTCCAGACTCAGCTGGCCTAGAGACATCATAGTAGCCCACAAGCCATTCTAGACTCCCATAACTTCCTTGCTCTGTTCAGTTCCTAAAGTAAAGGTACTCTGCAGCTGTTATCCTTTACACCGTATTTCTTTCCTTTCAGACATAAATACCTCCTTCCCACACTCTTGGGACAGGGCAACTACCTTCAAATTTATCCGTACAGTATGCTGTGACCAGAACCTTCCCTTGAGTCTTCACCCTTTCTCTCATATGTATATGACGAATACTGGGTTAGTTTTATTGGCTGGAATCGTTTTATATATTTCCATGAGAATTATACTAGTGACATAACTTCCAGCAGCAAATGAAGACAGCTGGGCCTAACTGGTTACCGTTCTGTCTACCAGTGGTTCAGGTTACTTGTTACAAACATTGGTGCTCCTCTTCCCAAACCCCTGGACCATTACAGCACTGCTGTTCCTGTAGAGGGAGCAAGGGGAGCCGACACCACCATGGCTCTCTCACTTGAGCCGGGAGTCATGCAGCAGCTTAACTTCTGGTCCACTACAGTGCCATCACTGGATAAAGCTATGAATAGGACCCTTGTGGTGCAGCGGTTCAACTGCTGTACTGCAGCCAAAACTGTGCTCATGACCTGGGGTTCAATCCCAGGTAGCTGACTCAGCCTTCTATCCTTCTGAGGTTGGTAAAATTAGTACTCAGCTTGCTGGGGGGGGGGGGAATGTGTAGCCTGCATAATTGACTTGAAACCCACCCAGAGAGTGCTTGAAGCACTATGGGGCGGTATATAAGTAGCACACTTTGCTTTTTTGTGCTTTTGAATAGAGAGGCCACATGTCCTTCCTTATGGAGCTTCCATTTCAGGACATGCCTCCCTAGAGAATAATCCTTCTTCTATCCAGCCCAAGTCTGAATTAAACAGATCAAATTATAAGCACCATGCCCCTCTATAATGAGCATGAGACAGCAAGACTGAGTAGCATGCAGGTCACCTGGTCACCATCTTCTCCATTCGAGTGAGATGCACAGCAATACCATTTCAATGGTTAAAACCCTTTCTGATTTTGCATTGCTAAATTGGCACATGCAGTTTTATGCAAACTGGTATTTCCTTTTCTCTTCTTTTTTAGTGACGCACAAGAAGCCAAAATGTTGGCTGGATAGCTCTGTGGGTTGGAGCATGTGGCTACAGAGCCAATTGTTAGATTTCCCACTGTGCCGCCTGGGAGAAGAACCAGCCAGCGCAGCCCTGGACAAGCTTCACAGTCCCAGAACTCTAACAGAATGAGGGAATGGTAAAATATTTCTGAATACCTTATATCCACAAAAGTCTGGGAAAGGTCGCCATAACTCATAATTGGTTAAGGATGAGTAGCCCATGTTGGCTCTTTAAGTCACTTTGTAGAATCACTAGCCATCTTTAACAGAACAAGGATTTGGTTGGGATGAGATTGTTACATGTTCTTGTTTTTGTTTTGTAATCTGAAGGGTTGTAATTGTGAAGTGTGGAATCACTCTCTCCAAGTTTCAGGCACAAGCTAACAGGCTTTCAGGCAGCCCAAGATCGGGCTTCGTTTTCTCTATGGCCAGGAGAGCCAGAAACTACAGTCCTCACCCACCCCCACAGCAGACTGTGGCATGCAGAGACCTCTACTGGATGTCTAAGCCACAACAAGAAATATAACAGTACTGACTAAACTTTAATCATTCATTCAAAGCCTGTTCTATTTCTTCCAGGACAAATAGATTTATTTATGTATCTGATCGAGATACTTTTAAAATATTCCGTGCAGGATGAGAGTTTTATGAAACAATTATATTTCTTAATGTTGTAGACACTAAGTTATTGATCACAGTTGTGCATATCACATTCCGTTATATCACTCACTATTTGAGTTCATCTACAACCAGGGCTGTAGGAGGTTAATGAATTGTACTTTCAGAATGACAAAATTCAGCATTTTTACAAGTATCTTGTTGCCTAAATGTAGAGCAGAAGAGGAATTGCCTAAATGGGCCCTCTGCTCTGGCAGGTTCTTTGTTTTGTTACCTACTGTGTGACTGAATTCATAACCACGGCAAGAACAGATATGTGATGCAGAGTCTGCCAGAGCCTGAGTGGTGGTGGGGATATTTACACTCAGTTTTAACACTGAGGATTTTACCATATCACCTGACATCTCTTAGGTGACTACTACAGCACTATTTACAAAATAGAGGAGGCAAAATTTGACCTTTCAGGTGCTTTGGACTATAGCTCCCATTCTCTTAGCACCGGGGCTGATGGGACTGTAGTCCAAGATATCTGGAGGATCAAAGTTTCTCTACTTGTACGACAACTGTACACATACTGTGCAATTCTGCCTCCATTGTCTTAAAAAGCCCAAATAACTCACAGTGTGTCTACCAACATGTTCCAAGATATAAAACAGGATGTAAAAATATTTTAAATAAATACATAACAGATAAGATATTCTTAGTGCACACCATGTATTACCTAGTGCCAGGATGTTTGTGCTATAAAACCAGTTCTGAGAATGCCTAGTGTAAATAAAATAACAGTCATGATTATGTCAGTGCTTTCTGTATTTAACTCCTCTCGGACATAATTGTCAAGAATCTTACCCTAATCATGTGGGTGAGATACCTAAGCCTCTGGATAACAAATCCTGCACTGATAATGTGGAGTAATGTTCACAGAAACTCTACCTGTCACATGTTCATTCATTTTTAGAGGTGCTGCAGGATGTCTTGGTCTAAATCCAATTTTTAGTTCCATCTAGAGAAGACGTACAGAGTACCGTTTCCAGAAAATAAGACCTAACCTGAAAATAAGCCCTAGTATGCTTTTTTCAGGATGCTCGTAATATAAGCCCTACCCCAAGAATAAACCCTAGTTAAGTGAAACCCCACCCTCATCATTGTGCAGCAACCAAAAGAAAATGACAAAACTGTGTTTGAATAAAAGTAGATAGTTGCACATAAAAAAAAAACATCCCCTGAAAATAAGTCCCAATGCTTTTTTTGAGTAAAAATTAATATAAGACCCTATCTTATTTTAGCGGAAACACGGTATATGGAACTTACATTGGTGTTGATTTGAGAAAATTGACTCAATGAGTCTGCCCTTGCTAAAACTAATAATTTAGCATGTAGACATTTGTTGTTTCAAGGCTGTTCCAAGTTTTAGCTTTCAGCCTCACACAGCTGTTACTTGTAACTTTTCGTGTTAGATAAGCTAATTTAAGGTAAATATTCCCAGGCTGGCACATTTCCAGTCACTCAAAGTGTGGTGGTTACATGTCAAAATTCGTCTGAGTTTGTATCAGATTTAGCACGTTTGAAATTGATTTAAAAATATATCTTTACACAAAGGCATCTAATCACCATTCTTTGGGCCTGGAAGTATTTTTACTTACTGATTTATTTTGAATCATTTTGCATGTGTACTCGCCTGTGTCAGTGTAAATTGTGTTTGTTGGGTTTGTCATATTGAATGCCAGGATCATGGATCTGGAGCTGCAGGGTAACCTTGCAGTCTAATCTAGACATGGGCTATTTGTATTTGTATCCCTGGGGATACAAATACAAATCACAGCACCACAGGTGCCATGGAGGCCCATTACCTCCCCGCAGAACTGCCCAGTCCACTCACTGTTCACACTGTGGCACTTGGCATCATGGCAATGATGGAAGGAGCCTGGATGGTTCTTCCCTGCCTCCTCACACAGCTGACCAGATTGACAGGGAGGCAGGATGGGGAGTCTCCCTACTCAGGCAATGAGTGATTAGCTGTGCAGGGAGGTGGGGAAGAGCTGGGTGGGCTCCTTCATGACCGAAACAATAACAGTGACAGAGCCAAGCGTTGCATGACGAACAATGAGTGGACCACCCAGTTCTGTGGGTGGGATGGGCCTCCGTGTCACCTGTGGTGCTGTGATTCATATTTGTATCCCCAGGGATATGAATATGAATAGCCCATGTCTACTCTGACCTGTACATTTTTTTCTATTTGTATCACTGATTTAGCATTATGCCAGTTTGGAAAAAATTAAAAGTATAAAACAAATAAAACAAATATTAAAAATTACACCAGAAGAACATGGCTTTCATCCCTGTCACCCATATCATATCAATGTCATGTATGCTGCCTTGATTGTTTTAGAGGAAAGGCTGGAAATAACTATACAGTATATACATACCTGCAATATTGTAAACTATGTGGATTACATACTTCTTGGACAGTGCTAAGCGTTGCTTTTAGTACAACAATATGATGGTGAAAGTCCATTTGACAAATACGTCAGAAAATAACCACGTATCTAGAGGGAAATGACAACAAAAACAGGTTTTTTTAGTATCTGTGTAGGAATTTGCATTTCTCTGGTGTATTAGCAGTTCTCAATCATTTCCTCTAAAATTTTGCTTCTAAAATCTTTGCCATAGTCAGGTGAGATTTAAGGACAAGGCACTCAGGCTTTCTATTTTTTCCTTTCTGTCTTTATGGATTCATCTTCTCCTTGCCCATTTGCTTGCCTTCTCTCTCCACAGTCACAGAAAATTTGTCCTTTGTCTAAGTAGCCCCATTTTACTTGATTATTCTTTGATGTACTTACTTGGCTTTGTTCTCCATAGCTTGCATTCTGTTCTGAAACCTTTAATGGCATTTATTCTCCATAGGTTTAGCCTAATCTCTTCTGGTTTAATATTTAGACCCTGAGAAGTGTACAGAAAATGTTTCCTCAATTTTAGCTTTTGTTGAGAATAGTGGTTCTTTACTTTGGGTAACCCAGGTGTTCTTGGACTGCAACTCCCAGAAATCCCACCAAGCACAGTTAGTGGTGAAGGCTTCTGGGAGTTATAGTCCAGGAACACCTGGGTTGCCCAAGGTTGGGAACAACTGGTCTAGGAGGTTGGTGCCCATGAAATTGATTGGTTTGGCACTGTATTACCTTATTTTGTTCATTATTTGCCAGCCTTTCTCAATGTACTTCTGGAGGGGCAATGCCAACTAAATATTTTTTTCCCAATGGGGCAAGTTTCAGGCAGACAGCAATAATCCTGCATGACACATTAAGGGCTCCATCCACTTATTTGGCATGTACTAATTTGTACCACACAGCACTAGCATGCTGTATTCTAGTTGCGAAGTATTCTATTGCGAAGTATCACAGGGACAAAGCTGTTGTTCTTATTGTTTGTGCACGTACACCCCAAACTAACCCAGCCAGTTTCCTAAGTACGTTATTTCTGGTGGCAGCTTTCAGTTTGGTGTTTAGACAATGTATTTTGTAGGTCAGAATTCAATTCAGAGTGGTGCCCAAATACTTTGGGGCAAGGCAATGATCCACAACCTTGCCTTCCCAGCTAACTCAGAACTTCCTTTCTGCATCTCTGTTCTTGAAGTGGAAGGTACAGACCTTTATTTTAAAAGGTTTGTTTTCAGCTGGTAATTTTTATACTGTAAGGAAAGATCTTCTAATGCAGGTGTTAGCTGGTGTCAAAGGCCTCAAACGTTTCCCACTGGACTGTCATGGCAACATCATCAGCATTGATGGAACCCCTGAGTATGGGACTGTTGGTTAATCATTCATGGAAATGTTAAAAAGTAATGGTACCAGGATGCTGCCACATGGGAGACTCTTCTGTTATTTCTCCAGTCACTGTGCCTCCCCAGCTAAAAGGCAATGTGGAAATATGGGTGACTGTCAACATTGATAGACATGGCTTGTTCACACACATATTCATTTCACAAAAAGACAATAAAGTTTTACTAAACATTTGAGAGAAGCAATTCCCATCTTGGTCATTTAACTGTGACGTATATAATGAAAGAGGTGTGCTTCTCTCCTCTTCTAGCCAAAGGAAATGTGGGGTTTTTTTGTTCTTTTCTTGTTCTGTTGCTATTTCTTTAATTGGCTTGCTTTTAAAAATTGTTGTTGCCACATGTATTATCTGTCAAATGTTGCTCCTGTCAGGAAGCTGTTGTGAGAAACATGAAAACATGCCTAATGGCATCCTGCTTTGGGTAACAAGATTCTTAACACAAGATGTTGCTAGAAAAATCTGCCTGCCTTGTGGCTCATTCTTTCAAACACACACAAAGCCAATAAACAATTTTCTCTTCCTTTCTTACCTGGAAATCTCTTACTTTTGACTTCTTCCTGTCTGACAATGTTTCTTGCTCATTCTTGAACCTGTTGATCTCCAGATGTATTGAACTACAACCTATGTCATCATCAGATGTAATCCAACATGTATCACAGATTGAAGGTGAGAAACATAGGACCTGCCCATGATGTTTAATTACAGTGCCCTAGCCGTCATAGCCAGTGGTGATAGGAACTGAGGTCTGAGACTACCGGGAGGGCCGTAGACGCATAACCTGTGAAATGTTTCTGAGAAAACTATGCTTAGAGTAGCTTTTGAAATACTATGTATTTAATTTGCCTGAAGTACACCAGGCTATAGCTCTGATGCCTTTTAATGGCAAAATAAATACTTGGGCTCTACTTCAGAATTGATGGTATACACTTACTTAAATCTCATCTGAGGAAAGACATCTTATATGAAGTGGTGCTCTGGCTGAGGGCTCTCCAGTTGATCAGTCAATAACACATATCCCCACCATGTCAGAGCCTTGATGCAATTTTCCTACAAGTTATTTTAAATACAAATAATTAATATCCAAACCCTATAAACGAGAAGGATATCAACACTGGAGAGTACATAATTTCTGTTTAGCATTGGCCTAAAATATTTTGCTGCCTCAGGCAGAGGAGCAAATGGCATTTCTACTCCACAAAGTTAAGATTCATAGTATCTAAAGCAAACCTGGTTTTCCAGCATGAGGCAGAAAATCCAGTCAACTTCTCTTCCTGTCCCTGGCAGTACAAAAAGGAGTAAGCAGTAAGAAATTAAGTAACTAACAACTTGGGGGGTGGGGTTTGAGACAAAACCTGTTGTCTGTGACAGCTACTTCACTCTGTAGAACGGTGAGGTTGGCCATTTTTTGCTTTGCCCTTTTCAAATAATTGGGTCTTGTGAAAGAAAGGCCATCAGAGAATTGGAAATGGAATATAAAATAGTGTAAATTGTACAGTTAATGCTAAAAAAAATGGGGGGATAGAGGGATTTTCTATCTCTTGGGCCAAAGTTTGTGGAGTTTGTGTGTGACACAACTGCTGTAAAGAGAAGAGAGTTGGGAGTAGATGCCATTTGCTAGACGGTAGCAAGAAGCCTGGGGGGAGTCTGGGGCCTCACCATCATCGTCCCACAAAACAGCAAGCATTTTCCACCAAAAATGGTTTCCACTGATAGTCTTCATCAAGCGGTTAGTCAATGTGTAATGGCTACCAACTGGCACTTGCCACACCATTTCTCTGTTTGGTCTGGTCTCAAAACAGTTAATGAAATGTTTAAAGAGACCTAACAGATTTTAATGTTTCCAGAATTCCGATTTAAGGAAAGGGTTAAAAGCAAAACGGAAAACAAGCCACCTGCTGAGATTCCTTTTTTGTGTGCTTAGGATTTTTAAAAAGAGCTCAATGTCTTTTTAAGATCAGCAGAGAAAAATGGAGCTGTATTTTTTTCTGCTTTACGAGCCTGCTCATTTTACAACCTGCCTCCTCAAGTGGCGTGGGGGAGAGGCCGAGTGCGGATGGCGACTAAAGGCCTTAGGGAGGAGTTTATTATCTGCAAGGGAGGTTGGGATCCGTCCCTTTGGGAGGCACGGTACAAAGCTCCCGTTCGCAAGGCAGAAGCAACGAGCCCGAGCCCCTGAAGCGGGAGGCCGCTTTCCCTCTGCCTCCTTTCCTTTCCTTCCCCCACCCCTCTGCCGCACTCGCGTATTCGGTGGGGATACAAGCCCCCTCCCTTCCCAGCTGGCACTGAATCAAGCCAGGGACACACCGCCCGTCTGGGAAGCGTCTGGGCGGCTTCCCTTTGTGAGGGAGGGTGGGGAGGGGAAGGGGGTGTCACCAGATCGCCGGGCTTCTGGGCTTCTGCCTCCTTTCCTTTCCTTCCCCCACCCCTCTGCCGCACTCGCGTATTCGGTGGGGATACAAGCCCCCTCCCTTCCCAGCTGGCACTGAATCAAGCCAGGGACACACCGCCCGTCTGGGAAGCGTCTGGGCGGCTTCCCTTTGTGAGGGAGGGTGGGGAGGGGAAGGGGGTGTCACCAGATCGCCGGGCTTCTGGGCTGAACGACAAAAGCCGGGACTAAACAGGCGAGGCGGGGCGGGGGGGGGCGTGGGGAGAGGGAGAGGGACCTGAAATGGGCAGGAGGGAAGCGAGAGCTCATGCCAGGACGTCTCAAACGCCTGACCTTCAAAACAAAACCGTTATATGCAGGGGCTACCGCCACCCACAGACCCCTCTGACAGGGTAACACGCTGTGAAGAAGAGACGCTATTATAGTGGGGAAGGACCGGAGACATTCAACTACAGGTCTCGGGGTCTGGCTGAAGAATGGCAGTATCCAACGCACGGGGTTCCTTTAAAATATAAAATGAATTGATGACCATTTAAAATTGTGTTGCCATCTCACTAACTTGCAGCCAAGCCCGGGTGGTCAGGCATTTTCCTTGCCTGGCCCTGTTTACTGTGAAATTATCTTGAGCAGGCTTCGTTTGTTTGTTCATTCCCCAGACCATGCGGGAACTTTGCTTCCTGCTGCTGGGATTTCGGACTGAAAGTCTTAGTGATGAAAGGGGGCAGAAACAGGCAATATTGTCGTACCAGAAAAATATCCTGGACTTCAAGGGAGGCAGCTCTGTAGATCTAGGAGTTCAAAACCAGTTAGATTCAGGAAACATCAACAGACCCTGCCCCCTCTCCTCACATGTGTTGACAACATGCAAAACAGAGCATATATCATCCTCCATAACCCACCCTCCAACAGGAAAATGCATATGTCTTCCAAACCAGACCTCAGAAACTGGCAGTGGTTGGGATTCTGAGAGTTGTCATTAAACAAATCAACTTCTTCAAATTCTGTTCCAAACACCTGATGACACACCCATTTCTTTCCAGGAGGCATATAAAAGCTGAGTTATAAATGGAAGAATGTTATGGGGAAAAGAAATCACAACTCATCTGCATTTACTCTCACCTCTCTTCCTTAGAAACCTGAAAGCCAGATTATGGTTTAATTCTAGCTGTTTGTAGACATTGGATATGAGATACACCTCTATGGAGCAAATAACATCTAGCCCACTGTATCCTCAGGTACAGATTACTGTTTTTTCAGTGCTGGGTCACATGAAAGCACTAATAGATGCTTCTTTGTTCCTTTGTCGATTTGTTTCCCCAGAGCACCTTCTGAATTGCTCTGGAAAAAAAAACACAGAAGCTGAAAGGCAAGCCCTGCTATAAGTGACTTTCTGCATGCAGAAATTCAGTGAATGCTTAATTGTGGGTAAGCCCTTTCCATGGTAATGCCAACATTACAGAATGCTCTCCCCAGAGGGCTGTGCCTAGCACTAAATATTTTGCATTTCTGACACCTAAGGAGCAACATCTCATTCTCACACACTTTTTAAAAATTCAGAAAAAATACTGTCATTTAAATGTTAGCTTGCTGAGAGTTCAGTTCCCCCTGTGTGTTGAAGAAGAAGGGCACAGTTTGAAGAATATTTTCTTGTCCACTGAATTTCAAAACTGAATTTTCTTCTAAAATAATTGTAGTGCCACCCTTTTTTCCCTTTATGATAATGTTTTGTGCTCTGTTGCTTTTAAGAGTAGACCCAGTCTGGATGGGCGGGGTATAAATCTAATAAAATAAATAAATAAGATAAACATGTTTTAGTATTGATTTTATTTTACCTTTTTAAATACGATACTTGTTTAATTCTATTTTTTAATACTTGTACACTTAACTGCTAACTTTTGTAACTTTTAATAATGTGAGCCACCTTGGGTCCTTTCGAGGAAAAAGGCAAGGTAAAAACATTTTAAATAAATAAATGTGATCTTTCATATAAATCGATAGTCACAAATGGCATTCCATTTCCCTCCCTTTTCAAACTTATATATTACTGATGAACCATACATTTGTGGGAATACCTGTTGCTTTGGGGATGAAAATTGATTAACATTCAGTGCATCCTATAAACAATTTATAAGAACCTTTCAAGCAAGTTAGAACCACTTTTTCAGAAGAGTCAGTAGAAGGGAACTTTTTTCACACACCCCAGTGGTAAATAGCTTCTTAGCCATTTCCCCCCTGGGAAAATTGCACAACTGAGAGGAAAAACATGATTGCTCTTGCAAATACTGTATGTATTTCAAATTCCACAGAGGAAAAGCTTCTCGGGGTAGGTTCTGGAGAGGCCATAGAGCAGGTGGAAAAATGGTTAAGCCTCACTTCCTGGTCTTCTTTCAAAAAAAGACTCAGGAGCATGTAAACTAATGTAGCTAGTCCCTCTTCTGCTATCTTTTAAATAGTATCATAGGACCAATGAAAAGTTAAGCACAATCACTTTGCTAGTTCTGTTCCCTGAAAGAACCCTGACTTAGTGCTTGAACTATAGGGGTTGAGGAGGAGGTCCCTTAGTAGTTGCTTTTATGAGGAGCCCTAATATGAGTGAAGTAGGAGGGATGAGGCTCGGGGCTTTTAGATTTCATTAAGGGTTCCACCCCATTGAACATAGATTGCCCTGAGGTTCTTGAAAACGCGGATATTTCTCTAATAGAGGTTTTTAGTCCTTCTATGTATGTGTACAATGAACACACAAAGGATCTCAGTTCCATTGTCCAAAGAGACAGCTTTGTTTCCATGTTGGCCTCCTTCAGACTGGCAGAGATGATGATCACATGTCAAATGGGTTGTAACTTGTAATCAATGCACATATAGCATCAAGTGGCAGAACTGGCTGTTGCATCTTTTAGAAAATCCTTTGTTAAAATGCCAGAAGAGTTATAAACTTTCAGTCTTGTACGAAAGATGTGCATAGTTCCATCAATATACCACAGAAGATACATATGCACTAGAGTGTTACAGCACTGTTTGCAAGAGTCATAGGAGTAGAGTGGTAACTTTGCAGAGACTCATAATGACAGTCCCCATTGCCATCCTCCACATAAGGAGAGCCTAAAAATGTAGGCAGCTGAATTGGTGCATATCAAAAAATTGAAAATCAGATCATTTGCAAGGCTAATGGCTCTTAATTGCCTATTCAAGACCAAACGACCCTCAAATACATTATGATACAATGGGAGTGACTTGCAACAATCATTCTCTCCTACCTGGTATCA